TCACTGAAGGAATTCAGAGGTTTGTTCACATAATAACATGTTTCTTTTGCCTGAAGATACCTCAGTGGGTGAGACCATTGCAGCCTCATCCACAGCAGGATGAGTAAGTCCTTTTAATCCTTCTTAGCTGCCCACAAACTACGTCATCTGAAGAAATCCAGAACTGTGCTTCAAAGGAAACCAGAGGTTACCAATATATTAACCTCCCTTTTTTGCTTATTAAAAGAAAAAATAAGAGCTTTGAAAGTCAGATATTTTTATTGCTTTTGACTTTAAAAAGCCTAACTGTGAGACTAAGCTGTTCACAGGTCAAGTTTTGGAGATCTCTTTTGTAACTTCAGGAGAGACAGACTGCTCACTCCTACCTGCAGGCCCTGGGCAGCTGGTGGTGAGACTCCTGCTGGCAGGGGAGTGATCCATGGTTTAACTCTCCCACACACTAACCTTCTTTACTCATTGCCAGGAAGGAGAATTCTCTTATTCTTCCTACACCACCTTGTCCTCCATGGGCCTCTACCTGGTTCCAAACACCACTTGTATCCACAAATGGATGCATGTCCCTCCTGGACCTTGAGCTCCTCTACCATTCCCTGGAGAACCCTCCCCTGCTGTAGCACAAGCCAGGACTGCTGTGTGCACACATGGGCTGCCTGGCTGTCTGTCTGCTGGGAAGCAACTTCACCAGATGAGGCATTTTCCCTCTTACTGCCTGCTGATTTTTTATGCTGTTCCACCCTTCTTCAGAAAGTCAAGGATATTTTGAGCTCAACAGGAAAACTTCAAGCAAAGAAAAAATCTATTAGAATTCTTTTTTTTAATCCTCTGACAGCCCTGTGTAAAGGAAACCCAGCATCACCAAACCAGGCTTTGGTGGTGTCACACTGACAGGCATGGACTCCTCTGGCTGCCTCAGAAAAGCAGAACCAACTGTGAAGATCATGTGAAGATCATCTAACAGTAGAGCAGAGAACAGCTCCATGTGCTCTGTAAAACATCCATCTACATGTATTATAGCAGAGAGACGAAGGTACAAGGAGGTCTGGATTTCAACAGTGCATTTCAGAAAGCATGTCTTGATACTCAGTTTGGAGACATCCCAAAAGCATAAAACAGGATTTTTGGATCATTTTTGAAGTACCAACATGTTCCACTTTAGTTTTCTCTCTCCTAGTTACTAAGCCATTTTCCCACCCTCCAGGCCACAGTGAGGCCCTGCCAGCAACTTTGAGAGGCCTGGGCAGAGAGCCAGGACAGGTCCATCACCAGACTTGTTCCCAGTTTTTGTTCCACCTGTTTACCCAAAATGCAGAAAATGAAAGACCGTCTCAGTGCACCTACCGGGCCTGGTACTTGAGAGCTGCCTGTCCTCAAGAGCTGCTCCTGCCACCTCCCTGGAACTCATCCTGTTACCAAGGTTCAAACTGTGTCACCTCCTCTGGGTAAAAACCTTGAGAACCTTCAGTCTCATGTGTCTTGTCACCTTCCACATTGCCCATAACAGGGTAGCAGGGGCAAACACCATTTCCACCTGACAGTCTATGTCTGTTACTGGCATGTGTAGGTCTGAGAAGTCCAACTCAGTACCTGGATCACTCTGAAGAGCTTCTCAAGGCTGGCCCAGTCTTAGGTCAGAGAATGAGAAAGCCTGGAATGGCAGCAGCCACTCTTCTTCAGCATCAGTATAAGAAATCTCTTTTGCAGACTACTGTAGAAGTCACTCCTGAATTAAGAGTGGAATCAGCCCCAAGCCTCCCTGCTTTGAAGTCTGGAGGCTTCACTCACACAAAGCTAAATGTCCAAAAGAAGAAAGAATTAAGGAGATTCATTACATGATGGTATGAAAGTATGAAAGCTGACCAAGCTGCAGTGCTGTTAAGCAAAGGTGTCATGCAACATTTCTAAGATCATAATACAGAAAAATATAAGACACACACATGCTGTACAATCCATTCATTGGAAAAAGAAAAAAAAACCCTAACTCCACCAAAAGCCTAAATAGATTATTATGCTGCATGGTAACAGTGGTCACCTTCAGTTCAGACACAGGCATAATCCTTCAGGCACAATCCTGAGACAACATCACACTCACAGAATCACAGAATATGCAGAGTTGGAAGGGACCCATCAGGATCATCAAGTCCAACTCCTGTCCCTGTGTAGGGCACCCCAAGAATCACACCATTGGCCTTAGAGCATCACCCAAATGCTTCCTGAACTCAGGCAGGCTTGGTGCTGTGACCACTGCCTGGGGAGCTGGTTCCTGTGCTCAAACACCCTCTGGATGAAAAACCTTTTGCTGATACCCAACCTAAACCTCCCCTGATTCAGCTTCTGCCATTCCCCCCAGTCCTGTCACTGGTCACAGGAGTGAAGACATCAGGACCTGCCCCATCTCTTCCCTCCTGAGGAACCACAGACTGATATGAGGTCACCCCTCAGCCTCCTCTTCTCCAAGCTGAACAATCCAAATGACCTCAGCTGCTCCTCATAAGTCATCCCATCCAGACCCTTCACCATCCTCGTGACTCTCCTTTGGACACTCTCCAATAGCTTGATGTCTTTTTTATGTGGTGCCCAAACCTGCACACGGTGCTCAAGGTGAGGCTGCACCAGTGCAGATCAGAGCGTGACAGTCGCCTCCCTTGATCAGCTGGCAACCTTGTTTCAACGTAATGTGAATTGTTTCACTCATAGATAATGACTAAGAAAGGACATTTCCCGTTCAGAGTGTCCTAGGAATAACAGAGATTCAATGCAACCATTTAAAGTCTTTGTCAAAAGGCAATGGAAACTTATGGAAAACAATTCTGAGAAATTACCTAGTTATCACTCCAGAACACACAAAGTCATTTAACACTTACTTAAAACACCAAAAGTCTCCCAGATCTTGCAGTTAATGAGTCTTTTAAGAACATTCACCACCAGGTGTTTCAACAGTGCTTCAGTATCACTTCCCAGTTCTATGAAATTTGTCTCTAGATGAAAGACACTTCAAAATAAAATATATGCAACTCAAGAGTCATAACCCTTGGATTCTGAGATTCTGGGATGTCAGATAGCCCAAGAAAAGAGCTTTGAAACATGAAATGAATTTTAGCAGGGGAAAAGTCAGGTTATAATATATAATAGTGCTGGTTTAAAGCACTGACAGGAGCAGTTTTGCTCTTTGCTCACAAAGTACCAATGACTGAGGAAGAGCCTTAAATGTCAAATGTTGGCAGGAACAGAAAAGAACCTACCTTCCTGAAAGCAGCTGTGCCTTTAAAAAGTTTGAGACATAGTTGTATTAATTTCATGAGAAAATAAATCAGCTTTGTTAAAGTATAAAATAGGCTGCAATTAAACACTTTGGTCAAGTAATTATTCACAATGAGGCCCACACACATTGGTCATTTCAGAGCAGTGTGTAAATGCTGTTTTCCTGTTCATCAAATGCTGAGTTCTGTGTCTGTGCAAACAAACTAAAATATAGGGTAACAGCCAAGGATGTGAGTACCTCTGGTGTACCAGTTTTGGCAAAATGAGTACATCTGCATTGGATCCTAATTCCTGTAATACATTCACCTCTTTAGGGCATATCCTTAATCCCTGCAGTCCTCTATACAGCACACAAACATCATCTGTTTCTTCCTGCAGATCAGCAGACACACTCTAAATCTACTGAAGTATTTTAACATGGCTTAAGGTAAAATGTATTAAAATGAACAAATACAGCCAACATAACCATCCTAAATCCAGGAAATACACATATTAACACAGGCTTCAAGAAACCTACTGTTTCTGGGGATGAAATGACCTGAGGCCACTGAAACCACATGTACTGAAATGTGAGCCGAAATGAGCACTGAAGCCATGCAAACCCTCTGAGCCCAAACTTGGGACATGAGGTTATCCCACAGATGGTGTCACAGAAAAATCTGACATTTTACCACACAATCACTGCATTGTAAAGAGCAGCCCAAAAGAAACATATTAACATGTTCATCATCTTCTCTTTATATTTTCTTCATTTTGAGTATTTACTTGGCTACTGTCTTTTTTAAGCTCATGTAAAGAACCTATGTTTGTTAATTTATGTATCTTAATTTATGTATCCTATTAAGACAAATACATTTTAAAAAGCCATTTCTGGGCCTCCCTACGGTCTCTATTCTTATTTTACGGTTGTACCTTTATAAGCAAACACTTCACACTTAATCTAAAAGGGAAATCATAGAATCATGGGATGGTTAGAGTTGGAAGAGACCCTAAAGATCATCTAGTTCCAACCCCCTTCATGGGCAGGGACACCTCCCACCAGCCCAGGTTGCTGCAAGCCCCATCTAACCTGCCCTTCAACACTGTCAGGGATGGGGTAGCCACAGCTTCCCTGGGCAACCTGGGCCAGGGTCTCATCACTCCCACACTAAAGAATTTCCTCCTGGTCTCTAACCTAAATCTCTCTTCTTTCAGTTTAAAACCATTACCCCTTGTCTTCTCACTACAAGCCCTTGTAAAAAGTCCCTCCCCAGCTTTTCTGTAGGCCCCCTTCAGGTACTGGAAGGCCACTATGAGGTCCCCCTCATAAAATGCTATTTATCTATGCTCAGAAATGCTGTTCTGTATAATCCCAGCATGTGTAAGGTTTTACACACTCATTAGTACAGTGAAACAATCACAACTTTGTCTAGTTCCAACTTCTGCTTCAACAGCATCACACAGCCAACCACACCACCACTTGTCCACACCGTGAACTCATGCCTAATCTTTGACAGATAAGGACTGACTCACAGCTTGAATTACAAGTGTTTCATGGTATTTCTTTAAACAGTACTAAGCAAAGTTTTAAATGGGTCAAGACTGACTAATTTTTGAAGACTGCTGCCCACAGTATTTTAAGTGGGAAGGAGCTATTAGTATTTAGCTAGAAGTCAATGTCCCTGTCAAGAACACATCTGTAGCCTGACCACAAAGACGGGTCAGAGAAAGATGGAGCAGAAAAGATAAAAACAAGAACTGACTGTTTTACCTCACTGTCTGGGCTGGGCTGGATAACTTCCCAGGTCTGAGAGTCCACATCGTAGCAGTGCAGCTCGTTGGGCAGCGTGTTGTCTGCAGCCCCCCCGAAGACGTAGAGGTGCCGGTCGAAGGCAACCATGGTGTGGCCGTATCTCCGCTGGGGAGGAGGAGGAGAGCCTCGAAGTAAGTGCTCGGTAGGAATCCGTGTCCAACTGAGACATTAGGAATGAAAGAGTGGCTTTTTTTACCATTCTTTTCTACAAAGTAAGTTTTGTAACTCTCAGACTGTAAGAATCAAGAAGAGCTGCTCTATCACAGCAGATATTGAACGTGCATGAGAGCAGACAAGGACCAATCTGCAGGTTTGTCAGAGATCTACATAAGCTCCATGTTGCTAAAATGTGATACAGGCAACATGGTTCCACAGCCCAGATGTACTTATATAAACCCCAGCAGCTTAAATACCCTAATCTGGGAAGGAACTGGTGATCTGTTATCACCCATTTTAACAGATAACTCTTCAAAGTAGAGGGCACCATCCTGAGACCATACCCGTTATGAGAAGGTGTCACTTGCTGTGATAAGACCACTTCAGCCAAGGTCTGGAGGCCATTAGCTGTGGTTTCAGGTGTGGTTCCACTTCAGCCAGTAACCAGACAGCCCAGGCTGCCAGAACAGGTCAGTGTGTCTGTATTCCCATTGTTGGGCATTTTTATCCCATCAGAGGGGACACATGTTCAGAACAATGGTTGACACTCTGAGCAAGTCACATCAAATATCTCAAATTGAATACTGAAGATTTAAAAAAACACTTATTTCCATTTCATTGTGAACTGGTACTTCTCAGGCCCTGTTTTTACTGGTTTTACTCACCTATTCATATATCAACTTTTAGGAAGGTGGTATTTGCTATGCCATTCTGAGAACACTGAGACTCATACTCACATTTACAGTAAATCTACTGAACTTCTCTGTTTGTCTGCTGAAAAAGACCAATCTGATGCACATGGAAAATGACAAAGCCTAATCAAAGCAGTCCCTATTTTATCTTGTCTACCCTTCCTCATCATGAAATACAGTATTCTTAAGTACGTGCACTTCTCAACTCAGGCAGTCAAGGATTATGTGGATTTTGCACGACTTAAGTGTCTACACTTACATCTTTTCCTTGAATTCAAACTGGAAGAGATTATTGGTAATCTTGGCTCCACTCTGGCCAGAGAAAACAAACATCTTGTCTTTGCAAACAGCCACAGGAAAATTACAGCACGAAGGAGGAATTTCACCACTTTGTTCAATCTGAAAGAAAATGAAGCTCACAATGTAAACTGTGCACAGCCACGGGTGCTGAGTCTGCTGCAGGACCAGGCCAGGCCCAGAGACAGACAGGCCACATGTATGCAGACAACCAAGCCCCTAAAATCTGGCTACAGGTCTCAACTAATGCTGTGCTGACCTGTCTGCACAGACTGATAAAAAGGATAAATACGACTGGGGGCCACATTTCTAAAGCCCCTGGGACTGTCAGGATCAGGACTCTGACCTCACCAGCCAGCAAAGCTCCCAGTCTAGGGCAGCCCCTTCTCTAGGGGCACAACAAAGCCACCACAGGCAGTCTAGGTCCAGCTCACAGAGTCACAAGTAAAATGACATTTAATGTACACTTGGTTTTCCAAATACACAAATAACATCAAATTTCAACTGTTTCCTTTCACCTGTGCAACAAATACATCTGAAGAGACTCCAGGGCAGTCCAGCATGGGAAACTTTAAATTGTGTATTAAAACAAACATAAACTCTGTGTTAGCTGAAATTAAACATTTTTACCTCTTCCCAGCATGTTAGCTCTCTATCCTGCAGGCCAATTGTCCACATATCGTTTAACCTACATTAAAACACAAAAAATGCTTGATTTGAAGCAGTTTATTGTTGCTAATTTTTAGCACATAGAGTTGAAAGGAAAGAGACCCTATTTTATCATCATTCCTTCTCCTGCACAGGAGGAGAATCTCCTGCTTTCACTAGCAGAAAAAAAAAAAAAAAAAAAAAGAATCTTTTTTGTGCTATACCTAAATTTTATACCATCACCTCAGTTTGCTTTGTCATCTGTTTCCAAGTACACAACTCCACTGCAGTGAACAGTTACACACGGTGACTCTGCCTGGAGCTTAAGGATTTGAACTATTTAATCTTCAGGATTTTTACAGAAATACCCCTAATTACCCTGCCTTCTTCTACTCAGCACTGTTGACCCCTGAGATTGACCACAGTGATTACTGAGGTGGCTGAATCTTATACACAAGAGGATGAAAAAGGGTAACCTGAGACATCTGACTAACATGGATCTGACTGTGCTTTTCCTAGCACAATTTATTCACACTAACTACAGATGCTTCCTTTGTTCAAATCTGCCTGGAGGCTCATGTTCCACAAAAAGACATTTTTTAATGTGATTAGACATATTTAACAGAAGTCAGACAGCTCCTCTCACCCAACCCCTCCTTCCGGCTACCCACGATCCTTGGGGAACTCCCTAAGCTGCAACTGAGCAGTTCCAGAGTCGTGCATCTTTCTCCAATTCCTCTGCAAGAAATAAAGATCCTATCTGTTTTTCCAGTGATCAGCAGTTCTCCTGGAGAGTTCAAGAAGCTGATAACTTTCCTGCAGATTCTCCTCAATAGAGGAGGCAACCCAGCACAGAGGCAGCTCCTGGTTTGTTACAAGCTCTCTGTGCTCCCAAGATGCAAGTATTGTGCGTCAATATAAAACACTTCTGAGGTTCCTCAAGAGAGAAAAATATTATGTGTTTAGAACTGATTCTTCCCTGATGGACTAACAGCAAATGCAAGGGCTTCTGTCTCGGAAAAAGCTTCAGACTCAACTTCTCAGTAACACTCATTTCCAGTCTTTTCCCATTCATCTCTCTTCAACCTAAATAACCTCACATATTTTTGAAGAAAAAGCTGACACGTGGTTAGTTCTGTCATATGACACAAAGAAAATCCATGCTGTGTTCTAGGAGTCATCAGCAACATTAGAAGGCCTGTGGCAGGGAGCTTCTGAGAAATGCTAATTTGCCAGATTTCAAAGGTCATTTAGGATCTTTTCAACCAAGAAGGCTGTCAAATTACACATCCAGAGCCATTCTGAGTCACTAGATTTTTAGATTGTAAACAATTATTTGAACATTAATTAGTCAATTGCAAAAACTGCAAGATATGCTTAACAAGAGTCTGGGTTTTGCAAAGCTCCAGTGTTGTGTTTCAATCACTTGACAGGATTGTCAGGGTTGGAAGGGATCTCTGGAGATCATCAAGTCCAACCCCCTGCTGAAGCAGGATCTCCTGGAGCACATTACCCAGGGCTGCATCCTGGGGGTTTGGAATGTCTCCAGAGGAGACTCTGCCCCTCCCCAGGCAGTCTGTCCCAGGGCTCTGTCACCCTCATAATAAAGTTTTTTCTGATCTTTAAATGGAACTTCCTACATTCCAACTTGTGCCTGTTGCCCCTCGTCCTGTCACTGGGAACTATTGATCAGAGTCTGGCTCCATCCTCCCCGCACCCACACTTTAGATACTTACAGGTATTCATAATGTCTCCACTCAGCCTTCTCTTCTCCAGGCTGAACTCTCCCAGCTCCCTCAGGCTTTCCTCATCAGGCAGATGCTCCAACCCCCCCTAGTCATCTCTGTTGCCCTCTGCTGGACTCTCTCCAGAAGTTCCCTGTCTCCTGAACTGGGAAGCCCAGAACTGGACCCAGTTCTCTAGGTGTGGCCTCACCAAGGCTGAGCAGATGGGGTGTATGAATATGTCTCTATGGAGGTGAAAAGTGAGGGACTAGGATTTTAGAAAAGCAGCCAAGGAGAGAGGGATCCCACCACCCACCGTGCGTTGCCGTCGTATCCCGCGAAGATCCAGAGCTTGTCACTGTACACGGTGGCGCCGTGCGCCGACCTCGCCACAGGCAGCCTGCAGGTGGGCAAGGTCAGAGAGAAAAAGCCTCGGGTCACTTGCAGAGGTGCTGCAAGGAGGATGACAGCTAAAATGCACATGTAAGAATCAAGTCCCCAACACTAAATGGCTTCAAGCCAAGAAACTGCTTCCCCTGTCCATCCTCCAAACACAGAGAAGGCTCTGAAGGGTCCGTTTTAGACTTTCACACTCTGCTTGCTTTGTTAGAGAAATATGCTTTAATGCATACAGGAAAAAAAGAAAAAAACATCTCAATTAATTCCTTTCCAGGCCTCAAATACTCTTAAAGTATTTTATGGAAAGTAGCTAAGTAGAGGGACAATTAACAGCACTGTAATTATGGCAAAGTGGCAATGCACTCATGCTATAAAAATCCCAGGCATATTGTCAGGCACTAAGAAGTTGCAGGACGCAAATGAGAGGCAGGACAGAGCTCAGAGTGCTCACATGGGATGGTTCAGAAGGTGTTCCTGAGACAGAGCCCACAATAAAAGAACAAATTTACTGTTCCCACTCCCCAGACTTTGCTGGTTTTACTATATCAACCAAGAAGGATTGAACAAAACTCTGATGTCACAAGGCCACGGTTGTAATGTTGGCCTGTCTGAGGTGATTTGTGCAGTCACATCACCTTAAGGTGCTTCAAGCAAGTGTGCATGTTTTAGAGCACTCCAAGCAAGTCCAACTTCAACCAGGAAAGGAAGTGTAATATAACTACAAATCAGCTTCCAATTGGTTTCTGATAAAACTTAAATGAAACTATGAGGGATCAACAAAGCTCCTGTTACCCTTGAAAAAAAACAAAACAAAACAATGCAAAAGAAAAAACTTCCTTTGGTGCCACTCTGTCACAGAAAGAAAACGTGAAGAATGGATTTTGGTCAGATTTCCAATAGAGCGCACTCCGGAATGGGGGCCCTGCAAAAAAACCAGCTTCCTCAGAACAAAAAAAAGCTTTCAGAAAACTTGAATGAAGCAAGTAGAGCAGACATCATCCTGCAGCCTTAATTTTAGCCTTGTAACCAATTCTAACTGTGCCATTCTAAATGTTCGCGGAGTGATGCTCAAATCCCCTTGAAGAGTGTGGTCACGTCAGCTCCTTACCTGCCTTCAGTCTTCCACTCTGTCCACTGCCCAGTTGCAAACTTATACTCAAAGAGATCATTTTTATTCTTCAGGTTGGAATTGGAATAAATGTCTCCAGTGTAGCCACCTGGGCAATAACAATCCCATTAGACTCAAATGCAATCCAGCCTAGACACTTCTGGTGTGCAATTGTCATGTGCTGCTGCCTTACCAAACACAAACATGCTGCTCCCATAGACCACAGCTGAGTGGTGGTACCGTGGTGCTGGAGGGGTCCCCGTGGTAAAAGCCCTGCACAACATTGAGAAGAGCAGCAATCAACCCCCTTGTCATGCTGCAGGCACTCAGAGCTACTGTGCAGATTCAAAAAAAGAAACAATTGTTAAAAGTTATTCTGCTGTTCCTGAATGTTTTGTTTGGGTTTGGTTTCTTAATTATACTACCCAAGAGGGACTGTTTACTTGTAGAGAAAGGACAAGAGGTAATGGCTCAAAACTTACATATTAGGAAGAAATTCTCTGCTGTGAGGGTGGTGAGACCCTGGCCCAGGTTGCCCAGGGAAGCTGTGGCTGCCCCATCCCTGGCAGTGTTGAAGGGCAGGTTGGATGGGGCTTGGAGCAGCCTGGGCTGCTGGGAGGTGTCCCTGCCCATGCAGGGGGTTGGATCTAGATGATCCTTAAGGTCCTTCCAACCCAAACCATTCCATTATATTATTCTATGCCTTAGCACTACATGCATATATGATCACACAGGATGCTGCTGGAATCTGTTTGGCAGAAAGTAAGTGAAGCACAGCTAAGACAACACAGACTGCACAGTCCAGAGCAAAGAAGCAAAGCAAAGACACCTGTGAACCCCCCATTGCAGCCTTCCTGCCCTGAGGGGCTGCAGCAGCCCAGCCCCTCTGTCCCTGCACCTGCTCAGCAGGGCAGGAGCAGCGGGAACCCCCGCCCTGCGCACGGCTGAGCTGCCCAGCTGCCCTGGCCGGCAGGAGCTGCGGGGGCACCGACAACCCAGCCCC